GTGGGTCCAGCATCTATATTTCTTTTTAAGTTTTACTTTTATCCGAGTGAATAGAACCGAAACTTGTTCCGCAAGTTCAAGTCCTCTGATAGCGACAGCAATTTGCGTCTTCACTTTCAATGCTCCAGCATCGTCTCCCATATATACGTACATCTCCACTCTTGATATCTCGGATTTCCCTCTTCTGTTGCGATGGCAATGAACTTCTGCGGGATGCAGTCGAGAACTTTAAGCTACATTATCTGTATCTATCAGTTGCCCAGCTGGCCGAGAGCTGTCAAACTTGTTTTGTCTGCCAACGAAACCGAAATGAAGCTTGTTTCGGTTCTGCTCCTGATGCCTGTGGTACATGCTGTATGCCACATGTGCAATCCAATCTTAGCCAACGACATTTGCTGACCTTACGGATATGAAACGATAATGTTACACTCTTAAGCAAATATCCACCGATGTTGTGTTCTCCGGACCGAATGCATATAAATGAGCAAAAGAGCCTCAAGGATGTCTGACACGAGCTCGTTTCCGTTGTCAAACTTCACTGGGAAAAATGGGAAAGGAGCTATGTTAATTTCAGAAAATCAAGCTGGCTCTTAATTTCCACAACATTTTGAGCTTAACATATTTCTATCCGTTACTCGTATTGTATATTGTACTAGTTGAAAAGTACGTAGAAGAAAAAAGGAAGTATTTTGAAAATATCATAAAAATGACTAAAAATCGACCGAAAAATACAAACCAAGATGAGTATACAGGTTTTTAGAGAATTAAACCACAATCATTTAGAGGTATGCCACTTCAAAATCGGATGTCTGTAAGAAAAGTTATGGGCTTAGAAGCACAGGCTTTTGGTCACTTTTCAGCAAAGCCATTTTTTGAAAATTTGGAAAGGGGTTAGTTAGTTAGCTCATAAAAATGACTTAAAATCGGCTCAAAAATACAAACCAATATGGGTATACAGATTTTTAGAGAATTAAATTACAATCATTTCGAGGAATGCCACTTTGAAATCGAATGTCTGTAAGAAAAGTTATGGACTTAGAAGCGTAGGCTTTTGGTCATTTTTTTGCAAAGCCATTTTTCGAAAATAAAAATGACTAAAAATCGACCGAAAAATACAAACCAAGATGAGTATACAGGTTTTTAGAGAATTAAACCACAATCATTTAGAGGTATGCCACTTTGAAATCAGATATCTGTAAGAAAAGTTGCAACCTTTTGACTGAAATTATATATCCTCCGGAAGGTATACAAATTTGGTGTAAGATCGTTTCTTTGTACGTTTCTTTTAAATACGGTAATAACTATGCGTAATAGGATTTACTATTAATAATAAATTTGACTTAATTTTTACAGTGTAGCTGGCTGGCTGGTTGGTAACAAGGAGATACATGGAAAACAATCAAATGGCTGGCGAAAAGAACATTGTTGCCTGAGGGAAAGCGGAAAAGCGGGCAGACAAAAGATGGCCTAAGGTTTCCCACGTACTCTTTCCCTCGCCCATTCACTCAGTCATTCATTCTCGCATTCATTCGGTTGCCTGGAAATGTCGCTTTGCATGTGTGAGTCTCTATATCTCCGCTTTGGGGCACAGGGCGTATACGTAATGCTGCCTCCATGGCGGCTTTTGTTCAACATGACAAAGACATGACAGCGACAGCAGCACGCAAGAAATACAACAACCACGAAATGGTGCTCTTTGTAATGCTTTTAATGCTTTCAAAATTCTCCATAGATTGATTTATGGCCACGAAGGAAGGATCAGGAAAAGCAGCCAGGACTATAAGACCAGGCATTGACAAATCAATGGGCAGCTTTAGAGGTCACAAAGATGAGCCGGGCAGGGGATTATGGGCGAGAACTTATGAAGAAATATCTTTTTGCGGCTTTAAATTTATTGAAGTTTCTTGATAAATGTCGCCAACCAAGTCCTGGCCATCGCATCCATTTATTAGCCCGACTGACAACTGAAGCACTCCATTGTCACCAGGGCATTCATCAATTTCACTTACTTTCGCATTTTGATGGAAAACTGGCAGCCAGAGGAAAATCAACTGGAGGATGAGGAGGAAAAACTCAATGGCCTTGGGTGGGTAAACATTGTCTACTCCTTTGCTTTGTTTTGCTTTCATTGAAAGTTCTGTGCTGTAGCTGATTTGCATATAGAAAACTTGTTAATAATGCCAGTTCAGGTGGGATGGATGGGAAAATGCCGCCCACCCCCCTCACATCCGCCCAGCAGAATCAACAACTTTTCCAACCGGCTTAGATGAAAGTTTTCTGATTGAGTTTTTGACAGTTTCTCTGGGGGATTCCCCTCCTTAAAAAAGGTGTCTACACTAAGCTTGTTTTGATTTTCCATTTATTGTTTCTGCTGATCTGCCTTGACAAAGTTTTTGGCTGCTAATTGCTTGAGCTCATAATTAGAACAAATGCAAATGAATGTAACGAATTTTCCCTTCCGACCACAGGACCTTTTTCCACCCGAATATTTTGTAAATTTATGCAAATAACAGTGCGCGTTAAAATTCACGACTAATTAGCTCGAAAGTTAAATGGAAACACAAAGTATTCGGCATTAATTTATGTTGGAATACAATTTTTGTGACGCCTGACAGTTTTTTCTTTGATGCTGCCACGATTTGCATAAACAAATGCAAACGAATGCTAAATCAACGACCACCAGGAAGGCGGCTGCCACGCCCACCTGCTGTTCAGTAAAACTTTAGCTATTCAACTTTGGCCATGCAGAAAGAATTCAGCATTTATTCCGATGTCTCTCTTGGTTGCAACAATGTGGAGGAACTTTTTGGACAATATTTTGCATGCGGATCCCAACAATGTTGAATGCAACACATAATGCAAAAGGAAACTTCTCAAACCAGACTTTAAAAAATATTCGAATATTTCTTTCTACATTTTTTACCGACACGAAATGGCTCGTGATAATCACTTGCATCAGGCTTGAATTAAATCGTTTTAATTATTTAAAATATTCCATGGGTCGAGTTCAATTAGTGTGTTATGTGGTCTGTCTCACATCGATTTTTGTTAACACTTTAATGCGTTTCACTGGACATTGCCGGATGAAAACAGGGGTAATTTAACGCATTGGCCAATTTGTGGCTCAAACAATTACAATTAACAGTTATTTTTCCTTTTTTTAAACCGTTCATAATATATTGAAATGTAATGTTTTGGTTAAGTGGATTAAAGGTCACAGGCAGAAATTTGTTAATCAAATAACGGTTTGCATTTCGATTTCACATTGAAATTTAATTATATTACCGTTAACATTTTTGGTGTATATTAAATTAAATGGCATCGTTTTTTCTTATTACATCTTTCGATAAGTGTTTTGAGATTGTTGTTGCATATTCTTATTTAATAATTATGTACAAATTGTACTTTATAAGAACCAAATGATGCATCACAGAATTTAATGTAAACTATTTACATAATAACTTTCTATTGTCAATATTATATTAAAATTAAACGTTTTGCTTTTTAGAATTTACCTCTTACGATTAAATTTAATCACGAATTTATTTAGAGAAACCTTCCTAGTTAATCGAAATAAGCTTGTATAATAAGGAAATAAGGAAATATTAAAGAGTTTCTGGAAAGCTTACCTTAAAATTAAAAATTAAAATCCCACAATTGAGTCTTCAAATGGCTGTCCGACTCTTATTACCCTGGTTCAGATTTTTGACAGTGCCCACTTCGAAATGAAATGCACAAAATGCTGGTCCTCGATTTCCCCGGAGCCAAAGAGAGCGATGTGGACAGCAACAAAATCTGCGTGTTCCGAAATTCGACTGTTGTCGCTGTGGACGTTGTTGCAATTAGCCCCGAAATGCGGTTCAATTAGGGGAGTGGACGTCCACGGGCGGTGGGCGGTGGGCATGGTCTGGAGCCCCCCAGCCGCTAATTTGCATATTGCATTACACGAAATTTCGAACTAGTCACGGGTTTTGAATGGGTTACGTTCGCATGGATTCAGTTTACGGTCTACATTGTTGTCCGGCTTAATTAAAAATTTTACGCCGCTTGAAGTGCATCAAATAATTTGATTTTCCTGCACTGAAGTGGTAACTTTATTTTGTAAATTTCCAGAACACAATCCTTAAAGCCTTTGTGTTATTGATTTTGCCATAAACAATCCGTTGAATCTTGGTCCCATAATGCGCTTGTTACTTGGCCAATAAGCGGCAAATCCAGCTTGTCTGCTCGTCTGGCTGGTTGGTTGGTTGAATTCCCTTAAAGATAAACCGGCGTAAACGTCAATTATGGGGGCGTACATCCCGGGTAACCCAAGCCCGGATGATTGAATGACGGAGGCCCGTTGTCGAATACAAAAACTAAGCAAACGCTTAAACCTCGTCAACGCCAACAGCAGCTATGGGAGTGACATTTTTTGAAAGTAATCCCGACGAAATGTTTGATTTATGTCAACGTGAGGGAAGTGTGCTGCAGACCATTAGTTGGTGGGGAAGTATGCGGGCCGGGCCATGGGTGTAGAGTTCCAAGTGGGCTATTTAACAATCTCGACAAGTTTTAGTTGGTATTTAAAGTTATACTTAACCAGGGGTAATAACCGTTTTTGTCTATGCTCGTGCTGAAGAACTATAAAGGTATATTAGCAGAACAATGAACCATGTTGTTTTGTATCTTTAGTATTGAATTTATTCCTTTGATTAAATCTTTTACTAAGGATTCCTTTTAAAATTATTTTTAAAACCCAATTGATTTCTGTGGCATACACATAACAAAAATATGCTTTAAAACAGGAGCCACAAAGAAAAGTTATAATTTTATAAATCCCTTTATAAACCTACCCAATTATTGCTGCATATTAAAGGTAACATTAATCAGAAGATAAACTCTTTGGCGTGGTTGAAATAAACTAATTAATACTCAATCATTAAAACACAATTAGGTCGTTTATTTCAGGTCATGTATTTATAATTAATCAAACGCTTGGATAAAATAATTTATGATTTTTATCGAGATAACCAGTCGATGGAGGAGGGGTTATGACATCTTAATTTGGGTTTCTTAATGAGACAATTAACCAAAAGTTCACAGAGTAATAAGAGAAAGGCCAGGATTAAAAAGCAGGTCAGCCAAATCCAGACCCAAAACAGATCGCCCACCTTAAACTCTCGGAAAGCGATGTAGTGAAATGGATCCTTCTGGGAAATCATGCCCAAGGTTACCATTTCGCGCAGGGTTTGCTGTTTCCAATATTCCAAGATTCCGCCTTCCTGAGCCCGACCAATCATATCATTAATATGATGTTCGTAGATGGAGTTGGACTGCATAACCAGCGATAGAAGGACACTTGCTTGAACAATCCGTAGTTCCGGCTGGACTGTAAATACCGGTTGCTTGAATAGCTCCTGTCTTTTGGCCACAATCAGCCATTCGGATGTGAGGACAGAGAAAGCTTGTGATCTATTTAGACCACTCCTAAGAGCATTATATTCCACAGTGTCCTTAAAAATCAACCGATCCTTAATGGCACGTATTGGTCGCTCCCACATGAAGTCGTTTAGGTAAAATCGATCAGCCGCTTCGAAAAACACAGTGACTGGGGAATCCCGAAGCTGTTGAAAATTGGAAATCTGTCGTGATGTGGGTCGCTTGGTCAGTAGAGTCTTCAGATGGGCTGCATACAGGGTACCCAGAACCAGGCCAAGTAGAAACAAAGTGGCATTGGTTACTTTTGAACTGATGGTATTCCGGGCACACATTTTAAAGGACTGACCCACAATGCCCGATATCATGCGTTCGTTCAGCAGCAAGTTAGACCAATCCACACGTTTTTGTAGCAATAGGGGACCAAAACAGGTGTCCAAAATGGTGAATATGCAGTAGAAGATCAGCAGAACGAGTAGGAAATTCTTACCACACACCACCGCATAAACATCGGCGGTCGGTATTTGTTGGGCATGTGGCACCATTATGAACCAGTTCTCCATGTCGTATATATTCGAGAATACTCCATACTCACTGGGTGGCTCAAAGCCAGCGAGACTAATGGGCATGTTGATGGTTCCATTCAGAGTCATATTCCGAAGAAGTATTAGATTCAACCGCTCACCTGGTACAATGGGTCTTTGCCACTGAAAAGTGAAGTTGTACATCCGAGTGAACTCCAGCAGAAACTTGTAAACATAGCCCGTCATTTCTAGTTCTCCTGTTTTCGCATTTCGATAGACAATCGAACGGGGTGGAAATTGATCCGGCAGAGTCAGTATATGTTTGCCGTTGAAATTCCGAAGTTTGGTAAATATAGGCGATTGGTCTGGATTTATTTCCAACCATCTTTGGGGAGCATAGGGCTGCAATCGAAATATCCTATTTCCGTGTCCAATTACAGCGAGTTGAAGGAAGCGCAGATCCTCTGCTGTTTTGGCAAAGTCAATAGTTGGGGCTTTTTCCCATTTCCTAAGTACTAGCACCCTTACTTTTCTCATATTCAAAAGACTTCGGTCAAGTGCATGCCACAAATCAGAGTCCCAATCCAAATTTCCGGTCTGCCAAATTAGGGCCAGTATTTCGTTGTTGTGGCTGCCTCTCACGTAGAAGTCCATCTGTTCGTTGAAATTGAAAACCGGCCAGGAAAACCTTTCCAAGCCAGATGCATTTCTTTGCTGGCTATGTCTGAGCAGCAGAACTGTGTCGTGGTGCTTATCCCTGTAAATGCTGGCCAGGATGTCATTTATCCAACTCGATTCGTTGGACAGCAGTAAAACTGGAACCAGCAGCGGCCACATGTCCAAGCGGAGTGCTGAGAAAACCGGGCAGTCCACCCATTATTATTTTGAATAAACGCTAATTAGTGAAGGTTACAAATGATTTGGGGGTCTACGCTAATGGGCTACGGATTGCAGGGCATTGAAAAATGGGCGTCATTAGCATTAAGTTTTACGGCTTTAATGTGCGTATTTACAGGCTCAATTATAAGTTAAGGAAAACTGGGGGAAGCACGGCTGAGTTGGCTTGAGTTATCTCCATCTCCGGGTGAATATTTCAAAATGATTTGTGTCTTGGCTTAAATATTTGAACATTTCTAATTGCCTGGGCAAATTGCTTTCAATGTTTTTCGTTACATTTGCATATACACATCCTTTTGACTCCATTAAACCTGTTTGCAATTGATTTTATCTTGGTCTCGGTTTCGGTTTTGGTTTACTTACAATCAAAATATATTGCAATTGTTGATTGATACGCTCTGAGGTTTTTGTAGGGCAAAAATACTAATTGGTTTTGCATGAATTATGTATTGTTTTAACTTCGGAAAAACCACAACCCGGAACCTTAAACTGCTCATCAACTTTTCAACAAGTTTTTACCACTTCCGCTTCCTAGCTCTTCCATTTTGCCGCTGCTTCTCCTTCAATTAAACAAGTTAAATTGGGCAAACAAGGAGTGGGAAAAAAGGCTGAATGAGTCAAGTGAGAGTTGCTTGAAGAGCGTGTCGCATTAATTTTCACGCGAGTGCATATTTGATTTACTTTTTTATTCATATTTCTTTCATCTGCTCTTATTTCGTGCTTTTGCATAAAGTCGAGAGGGTCTTTTCATTTCCTTCTCCGTCGTTGACATGCATAAAATGGCAAAGAATTCTTGCTTGGCATAAATTATGGCATGGCCGCTCGACAAGCAAGGACTTTTCTCTAGCCGTGCAACACGGCGTATGCGTAATGTAACATTAATTGCATTTATTTGCTTTGCTGATTGATTTCCCCGGCCGAGACGAATTTAACGGCCCACAACTTTTCCCAGGGCCAGGAGTACAAGACAAGACAATTTGGTTTATCAAAGTCATTTGGCTCCTGGCCTAGAGGCAGCCACGCCCACATAAATTAACGCAGACTTAACGAAGCGTTAACACAAAGGACGAGATCCCGAAAAGCAGCTGCCAACCCCAGACTCCTGCCAACTTTGCGACAATAAATTTATTGGTTTTATCCTGAAGCTTATCAAGTTCGCCTCGTCTGTTCATCTCATCGCACAACATGTGCAGTAAATTTTTATGTCAAATGAGTTTCGCCTCCATCGTAATATAATTTATGCATAAAATAATGAGCGTGCTTTTAGGCACTGCTCAAATGGGAAAACATGTGCGTGGTGGTGTGTGTGTGTGGGAAAAAGTTATTAATTGATTCGGCTTTAAAGCTGCTGACTCGATGGTTCATCCTTGAAAAGTTTACCCAAGGTGGGCGGAAAAAAGGAAAAGTTTTCTTTTTCGGCCCACCTCTTGAAACCCGAAGCCGAATCCTTGTTGATGGTATTGCCTAAGTAGGGTTTCTTAAGATTTTCCGACAATGTGTTAAGTGAAAATTGACACAGGCCAACGGGGAAAACTTTCCATGATTGAACGCATTTCGGGAAAAAGGCTTTAAAGAACCTGTATCTCGGGAGCATTTAAAGTTTGTCAGCTAGCAAAAGTTGGCCATGTTAAGCTGTGAAATTGTTCGCCATTTTGCGGGCGCCATTTTCAGTTGTGCGCTTTTTTAATTAAAAAAGTGGCCAACTAAACGGGGGCAAAAAGGAGGGGATATGGCGACAGCCATTTGAACTTGTTCTTTGCCTGTTTTAATTTCCAATCTCTATTCCTGTGCCACTGTAGCAGAAACTCTAGACAAAAAAGTAATTAAAATACTGCAAATATTTGCCCAGTTCGAATGCATTTTCCCACATCTCCGCCAATTCTGCAAGTGGCGCTTGAATCCTTGACCGCATTCCGTATCCCTGGCACATCCTGGCATCTAATGCGGCTAACTGAGCTGAGTATACCCCCTTCAATTGTCTGCGTTCCGTGTCGTTTGCCTGACGACCAGGCCGCATCCTTTTCGAGTTTGCGCTTGTTTGTCATCCTTTTTGCGGTCTCCGGCTTGTGCCCTTTATATGATTGCGGCTTCATGCTTTTGCATATTTCCCATGAATACGATTTCTGCACCCACACTCAGCCGCTCGCAGGATCCGCTGAAGTAGGTCGAATTATGCGTGAATACTCGCAGATATGCGGACTGAGTTGTCAACAAGCTCAGGTTGTGGCTGTCTCGAAAACCGCCCATACATTTGGTCGCATTCGGTATGCTGAGAATTTAGTTGTCAACCTTGATTCGGGAAAGTTTAAAGGGTTTCTGGAGCATTGCTGATAAATGTCTATGTTGAGAGTGACAATTTCCCAGAGGATATTATTAGCAAAGAAGGGCTTATATCAGTCGGATCTTTAAACAGTAACCGAATATTAAGCTAATATATATAAATATGTTGTTCTCCCCAAAAATGTTGCTGATAAGTTAATAATCTCAAAAATTGTTTAATATATTTTTAAAATGCTATCTCCTTTACTTACATACAGTTCTACTTCCATAACTCAACCCACCGTAAGTTGGGCTTACTTCAAATTATAAAATTGATATTACTTTTTATACACTCTATTGCTACTAAAATAAATTCTATTTATGATACTTCCAGCTAGGGAGGGAAGAGTTATAGATTGTTTTTTATAGTTAATTTATCATACTAAGAAATACTATAAATTTCTGAAAAGAATTTTGTGAAATATTCTTATTTTTAAGCGGGCGAAAGCTGATATTGTTAAATAAATTTTCCAAAAAAAATTCCAATATGCTTAACAAATTATTATTTCCATTTTACCTTAAAAAGTCGTTGTCTTCTTCCTCATATGCTGTTTTGAATTATAATGAATAAAGGTATATACGTTGTAGAAAAAATGTACAGATTATTTTGATGGTCTACAAGGAAAGTAAAAAATAAAACCCAGAAGTGTTCTGAACTTGTTTCTATTTAAGGCCCTTTTGAACATATAAAACTGTGTTAAGCAATTAATATGATGTTAAAGGGAAATTCAATTTCTGTAAAATTGGTGAGATCCCATTCTGGCAAACAAGATTTTTCAATAAAAGCCCTTGTATGCTGGTCTATGTTTGACAATGTTTGACCATGTTTACCCTGTGGCAGTGGGCGCATCTTGAGGCGACTTGAAGAGAGCCCCAGCCTCTGGTCGAACAAAAACCAAAACAGAGAAACTTGGCTAAAACGCTGGGCCCTAACCCCCCCAGTTCCCCCTCCCCAGCTCACTCCATGGAAAACCAGCGTCGAGCACGTGTATTTGAAGCGTTTTGATTGGCCAACGGCTTTCGCTTTTCGTTGCCACAGAGAGCGAGCGTTCCCGAATGCCTTTTTGCATAACTAAGAGAGCGGGCTAAGAGAGCGCCGACGAAAACTGGTTTTCCGAGGCGAAAAGGAAAAGCACCCTGTACCGACGGAGTGCTTTTCTGCTGAACTAAACGGCCGAACCGCCGCAGTTGTTGTTCGGCGTTCTTTGTGGTCAGACACTGGCGTATACGTATACGCAACGTCATCGTTTGTCTGGCATCGCTTCGAAAAGCGAGAATTCTGCATACCGGTTGCGTTTACCAAATAAAAATACAAAAACAAAAAGAAAAAAAAAGAAACGGTCTTACATATATCGGTTTCGTCGTCCCCGCACGCACGTAATTCGAGTCATTTTCCGTTAAAATTGAAATTCAAAAACATAATACCCCCCACTCCAGATAAGCAAATAAGGTACAACATATTGGTATTCTTATATTCACAATTGTCGTGTGCGCTTGCATTCTCGAGAACGGGTTTTACGGCATTCCCAATAAATTCTGCACTGGCCACTTTTTATGTTCGTGACGAAAGTGAAGTTCTACCCGATCATAATCTAAGCATTTCCGTTTCGAAAGTGGGGAAAGAAAATAAACGGTGATTTGCAAATAAAGCGGCTTAAAGCAGAACTGACAAAAAAGTTATTTAATATTCATATCCGACGAAGGGAACAAAAAAATCGTCCACAGACTAACATAGCAACAAGTCGGCGCCAACTCTCATTCAAATAAACCATAAAAAAACCACAAGCAAATCCAAACTTAAACAACGCTGTGTTTATTAACATTCAGCTGAGAGCATTGGATAGGTAGAAAAGCCTCGTCTTCCGAGAATTGGCAGTTAATTTTTGAAATCACCTCCGACCAAGCGAACCCCTAAAAAAAGATTAAGAAGAGAAAAGAACCGAAGACGAACCGAGACCTGTTAAATACCCGTAGGTGTTGTACGTGTGTGTGTGTGTGTCAGTGTGAGTGTGATAACTGTGAAACTATATACCCACAAGGCAGGAAGAATAAAAAAATCTGGTGAGTCCCCTCACCATTTGGGTGACATTCGAGAACTATTCGACCTGCCCACGCCGCCATAGAAATGGAAAGTTTTTCGCTTAGACTGTAAAAAATAGTGAAGAATAGAATTTTGCAGATCACAGCTAAAAAACTGATTACGCGACGCGTTCTAGATACATTATTTAGGCTGCAGTGCAGATCTCGCGAGATATTAGTTGAATGTGTGCCAAATGCCAAAATGAGACGAGAAATACGGCCACAGTCGTGTTTATTATTTTTATAATTTATTGCCCAACAATAATAAGAACACATATATGTGTGTATGTGTGTATATATAGAATTTTGGAGCGAGAACTGTTTGATTGCCGTTTACAACGCAGCATTCTGGTGAAATGCATCTGCAAGATACACACGAATGCAGACTGACACGGAAACCGGCGAGGCAGACGCATAATAAACGATAAATTTCAGGGCAATGACAAAATTGCTGATAACTGACCCACCAACATTTCGATTCTTGTTTCCCTTTTCCTCTTTGTTTGATCATTAATATCTTTTAGTTAAATGTACTATGAAAAGTCTGGGGGATAAGTTCACACTCAAGGTTAGTCTAGGCTTAAAAGCTATATTTATGGTTTCTTGGGGCTTAGAACGCTTAGTTAATGATCCCCCAAGTGAATGAATGTTTGAGGAGATTTCCCGAAAAAAAAAAGTAAAAATCAATGCTAGCCTCCCAGCCCAGTTGATTTGGCAATCGCTGTTTTGCCCAACAGATTTATGTTTGTGTGTGTTTTTTTTTGTTTTTTTTTTCGGTTTAGACCAAAATTGCTGTGAGGTGCGTTGTGGAAGGGGTTGGTTGGCGGAGGAGCAGGCACAGGCTGAGTGGCCGCCCGCTGCTATTTATAGGCGCTCAACAAACACACACACACACGAAATGTATCTTATAGATACACAGGCAAAAAGTTTTGCATCGCCCAGCCGTCTTTTCTTCTTCTTCTTTGTGTCCTCTATCCCCACTCTCCCCCCTCCATTCTTTATATGTCTGGGTTGTCTGCCTCATAAATATATAACCATACGACAATGGCGAGACAACAGAACCCAGTTGGCAGATCGGGATCTTCGGGCTTCTAAGGCGAAGCAATTTGCCTTTTCATACAGCAGTTAGTTTCTGTGAAATCGAAAACAAGATTGATGTTGATGCCTTGCCTTCACACAACTGGACTTTCTTGGCCGAAAAGGAGACAACGCAGCTGCTCCGTCTGCCTTTTGTTGTTAGCCACTGGTATTTGTTTAATTGCCGCTGTTCCATCTGTTTATTTAGCGAAAAATAAAATACAGAGGGAAGCCGCCCGGGAACTTGGCAATTTTCTTTTCAAGTTTTACCGCGTGTGAGGGGCGCAGTTAGTTATTTTTCCCAAAAACAAAAGAAGGAAAAAATACTCAAAATACCAATCAGTCCGCGACCAGTTTCGTTTTTTCTTGCATAATCTTCCACGGCAACAGCTTGCGGCAAGTGCAACTGCAACCGCGGAGGCTGCGACTGCGCAGTAAATATCTTTTCCTTTTTTCGATTTTTTTTTCTGTTTCGTTTCGGGCATGACAAAAGCTGCCAAGCGATTCGCTTCATTCGCTGCTACGTAATTGCAAGTTCGAGCGCAAAACTTGAAAAACAGCCAACAGATAAAATTGCAGCTGACTGCAGTTGGGCTTTTGTTTTCTGGCCATCCCGCTTGCACTCGCTTTTGGCCATATATTTCAAAGAGCATATCGGTGTAGCCAAGAACCGGAAAGGAAGTGAGCGTGTAAGTTACCAAGACTTTGACTCCCAATCCGAATAAGACTCCCAGTCGACCAAACCGGTTTGCTCTCGAATGCTTCTTTTCCAAGAAGCACGCCACTCAGGGCTCGCCAAGTCATTCACTTGCAACCGATTCGGGTTTGGTTTGTGGCCCTCGTTTCTGCCTCCGCTGGCTGCGCAGTCGCCGCTGCAGTTGCAGTGGCAGTGGCAGTTGCAGTTGCTGCCATCAAGCGCGGGCGCAAGAACAAAACGGAGTCGATATAACCTGCACTTGCAAAAATATGTTCAGAAAATTTTTTTCCTGTTCAGAAACCGAAAATATTATTTATTACATACTTTTATTAGGATTTGGCTTATTTTCCTATAGCTGATTTTTAAACATTTTGTGGACAAAAGTACATTTTTTCATTGTGTCGTTTATAAACACAAATCACAATTGTCCTTAAAAACTCTCTAGTAATATTGGTGCCTGCTTTTAAAAATAGGTTTGGCTTTATATAAATAAGTAAACAAACAATTTTGGAGTTTGTTTGAATCTGTAACCAGTCAAAATGTAACCAGTCTTAAGACAAGATTTAAATCAGATAAATTAAGTTAGATATTAAGCTAAACGATTCTTAAATAATACATTATTAAAATATATTTTTAAAGCACAAGAAAATTTTTATTTTTTGTAAATTTTTTTAAATGAAAGAGGAGTTGAATTAAATAATATAGAAGAAGAATACCTTTTTTTTAACTGTAGCTCGGAAAAGCACGAGGCACTGAACAATGCGAAACCGATAGTTGCTCGTAAACCAGAAGATAGAAGAATCCAAAAGCGACGTGCGTAGCATGGTGGTTCGAGTTTAGCAGTTGCACCGCTGGTGGGCGGAAGGGGAGTGGCAGCTGGAGGTGGGTGTTAAGTGCTGGGCAACTGAAGTGCCGTCTCGTTCCTTTTGCTGGCTGGGTTTTTGTCTAGTACGACGCATGTGCAGGCTGCTTTCTTGAGGTACTTGAACCTTATTGTCCATATATGTAGGAGTATGTGTGTGGCCACAAAATGGCGTCGGAGCTAAGGTAGCTTTGGCTCCTAACACGATGATATATTGTTGTGGGGGAACGAACATTGAACTCTAGCCGGGAAGCAAGGAAATAAATAGAGCAAGGCAAAGGGCCCAAAAGAAAAATTTATGGAAATGAAATACTTGAAAGGAAATTTGTGAAATCGCCAAAGATTTTTCCCAGCATTTCGGTACTTGGAGATGGTGAAAAAAGGAAACGTTCTTGAAGAAATGTTATTTAAACTTTTACAAGTACACAAGTATAATGATAATATGCATAGATAGAACATTATGCTGACATTATGTATATCAAATTTATTGAATATTAAATTATCTACCTAAACAGTACTAAAGTTTTAATCATTTACGCAAGTCACGATCACAAACTTCATTTGATATTTAAAATTAATAGTTTTTGGAAATGAAATTTAAATTTGACAGTAAAATATTAGTTCTTGTAAGAACTTCATTTAAGGGTTTGTTATTTTATAAAGTATTCACTCAACAAGCTTAAAGCAACCCAGGTCCAAACAATTTTCAAACAGAAGAGCCCATTAGGTTAAACTCCTTGGGTCAAGCTCGACACCTCCCTAATCCCCGTTTGAATGCAGGCTGACCTCAAAACAAAGCTGATTTATGTCGCTCCCCGAAAAGTGTCAACTTGCTACCAACCTCAACCCAATGCCCTCCATTCGAATCCAATCCGAGTGGCGAAGGGAGAGGGTGGGGGAGGGGGGGCTTCAGCGGTATCAGCTGCTGGCAATTTGAACTCAATCGACACCCAAATTGATAACTTAATGCCAGACAAAGAGCCAATGTGCAGAGTGAAAGAGAAGGGAAGTGAGTTCGGCGGGGCCTTTAAAAAGTTGGCTCAGCAAATTTATTCGCTGGAGAGACAGTGCCAAGCAATTCGAGCCTTCGCGAAAGGCAAAAAAAAAGGAGGCAAATAAACAAACGAGGCAACAACTAAAGTCATCTCTGGACCTGGCTTTTGTTGCTATTTTTATTGTAATTTTTGTTGTTGCTTTTATATGTTTGATGCCTGCTGTTTTTGTTGCTGCTATTGGAGCTGCGCTTTGGCTGCCTTGTCATTTACACGCGTAAACGTCCGTGACCCTCTGGCCCGACTTTCAACTGACTCCGGCAACTCGGAGGCTCCAAAAGACAAAGACAACACAAAGAGCGAAAGACAACGAGCGAAAGAGATGGGCGGAGGGGGCAAGAAAGAGACAGAGATGCTAACCAGCTGTTGACGTTAAGTTCAAACTTTTGTTTGGGCTTTATCAGCTTGTTAAGCAGCTCAACCAGAGCATGAGAAAATCCACAATATTCAAAATTAATAACGAAAAGAGATGCTCTAATTAAAGTGCAAATAAAGTTTTTTAGCATAGGCTTAATTAACTTCCATAAAACAATATTAGCTTATGTTATGATTAACTGATTCATATTTATTTATTAACATATATGTACAAGTATTTTTCCAAATTTTGTCCTTTTGCTTATAAATGATAAGTTAAAATCATTTAACAATTAAACATCTAAATCTATAAAAAAATAAATTTATTGAAAAAATATAATAGTATTTGTATAACAAGTATAACCAGAGAAGCAAAGAGATAGTAAAGAGTTAAGTGCTGATTAGCTGTTGTTAAAGTTTAAGTATGGCCTGGGTTGCATTAACTTTAACAAGTTAATCAGCAACTTTCAAATCATAAATATTCAATTTTTTTTACCAATAAAAATAATTTAGATCCTCGTGTGCATTATTCAGTTAATTTTTGGGTAAATTTGTTAAGAATAACAATGCTTGTTTCTTTGTTTATTTTAAACAACTTTAATGGTATAAAATTTAAAATTATAATTTTTGCCAATAAGGTAGTGAAAATAAGTAATTAATTTTTTTACCAAAATAGCAATATAGTCATTAATTAAGCTTAAAGTTCAGTTTGGTTGTGTCTACAAATTCATCAGCAAATCAGCAATACAGTCAAATGTCAATCAGCAACGCGTTGGAACGGTTTGGACTATCACGATAATATTAATATTGTAAATTATTTAAAATAATTTGGGTTCTTATTAGGATCGAAAATATAAGAGCAATAATATACTAATTTGAAATGACGTTTTTGTGAAGTGTATAATGATTTGTCTAAAATAAAGTTACATGTTTATCTAACAATTACATATGCTGGGATTTCTGAGATTTTAAATTAATAATACTAATACTTTGTTTTTCTTCTAAGAAATTCGTGCTTTGATATTGCAACAGAGTTTCCGTCTTAGAACATTTACTGTAATTGTCTTTTTCTTTGTTTTGCCTTTAAAAACTTGTTGAGTAGCTATAACAATGGGTAAACAAAGAATATTTTCTTTCATCAATTGAACTCAATTAAAGTGCAGACACTTCCTAAACAGCAAATCGAATTACGAATTCAAAATGCGAACACGACACGTGTGTGTAGGTGGGCCGGGGTCCAAGTTCCAATACGAGTCGAAAATCAATCCGAAATTCGATTGGCAACGGTGTCATCGCACCACGAGCTTGTCTAGTCTGTGAGTCAATTAAAGCTCGTGATTAGCATGCTGCTTTCCAGTGAACCCAAAGCTGACTCAAAACCATCGACTTAATGACTCACCTTAATAGACAGATCGTTCGATTGACGGAGTCATAGCGATTAGGCGACGTTTGATTACAGAATAAGCCGCCAAGCCGAACCCAATAATGCCTTTCTAGTTTTCCACTTTTTCATCGCTGATTTGTTTTCTTTCCACTTGCAGATACACCGCAGAAACAGCGCGAATTGGCAGTGAATGGACCGATTTCATAATAAAACGTAAAAGCAATACGGCCAATACGGGAAGAATCCAACTGACGCAATTCAATTTGCCAGCATCGGCAACCGCAAACTCATAAATTGAGATTAAGCAAGAGCTGAAGAGCTGAAGAGAAGGGGACGGGGGTCAGAGGGTTTTGGCCAACAGCAACAGCAATAGCAAATCAATCAGAGAGCGCTCGTCGCCCCACCACAATTTGCATGAGCCAACTCGGAGGCAGCCAGAATCAGCCGACACAGATTCAGACTCAGAGCCACCATAGCCATCATAGCCAACCCGGCCAAAATCAGCAGCCAAAGCGTCGGCCAAGTGGCGTTTTATGGCAATTGCGCCATCAGCTGCACAAGCGTAGCACGAGGAAGATGAAAACCATTTCATGATACTACAAGTGGTCCGAATCGGTGCTATTGAACTATCTGAGAATGCCGTCGACGCCGTACGATCTGGTGCAGGATGACCAGGATCTGCGGGTACCACTCCACGCCGAGCAGGCCTTCTTCCACGGCATCACATTTCAGGCCAAGGTGAGTCTAGGATTTATATTCCATTTACTCCCAGAGGGAAGGCTGGGTTTTAGGCAGTGGCAAGATTTATCTCCTCTGCTAATTGTGTTTTTATGTTCCAATAAATTAGCAATTAAATATTTCGATGGGTTGATCTTTCGGGAACCATTAGCAGTATTAAAAGTAAATAACCAGATTTTATTTTAAATCCGGATAATGAAGGAAATTGAACAAGAATAATATAACGAAAGCTATCACAATCCATATCTTAGTTTTTTAAACACTTTTAAATTGGCTTGCCTTTTCAGTTGAATATAAACAAAAGGATACTTTAATTGTTTCGATTTCTTGATAAGGTGGGCAAAATTTATTTCCTCTGCTAATTGTGTTTTTAAGTTCCAATAAATTAGCAATTAAATATTTCGATTGGTTGATCTTTCGGGAACCATTAGCAGTATTAAATGTAAATAACTTGATTTTCATTTAAATCTGGATAAATATTTATTTTCAACCTTATTACAAAAACTAAAGAAGAATGTAAGCTTAAATAGTCAAATACTTTTTTATAATTTGTATTACATTTAACTTTCATTTTAATTTCAACGAAAATGTTCGTTGAACTTGTAAGAAATTGTATAGCAATAACTTTTAATAGGTGTTGTTTTATGGATTTATAATTCACCTCAAGCTTAATTGTCGACACTCAAAATATATGAAGTATTATTAAGATAGTAAATGCCTTAATGGTGGTTAAATAGTTATTTTTCGTGGAATTGCTTTCAAATACATTCGAAGACTTATTGAAAACAATTTTATTATCTAAGATTACAAAACAAGAAAGTGAGTATTTCACTTTCTTTATATTCGTGTGTGTCTGGAATATTCTTCCGCTGAATTGTTTACATTCCTCTGTGAAATACTTATTGTGTAAACTGGAATCTCCGCTGCATTAGTCATAAAAATTCGTGAAGATAAATATTCAAACCATTCACGATGCCCTGTAATTGTGTTTGTCATTGTTTTTGCCCCAAACCATATCGGATTTCTGATTTTATATCTGTGGTACTTGAGTGTTCTAAACAATTTGTAAATGCAATTAAATATGTTTGCCATATTTGCTGCTGGCTGGTCAATGTTGCAGCAGTTGCAGTTCTGGGGTTGTTGGCATAATTTATTTTCAATGCTGCGGCGGAAGCGGCGAATAAAGAGTTTTCAACGTTAACAGGCGGCAAGCAAAAGAGTTAGTCAACTGTCACAATTACCGCCTGGTTGTTATTTTATATACCGATACGTATACCCATATGAACAGGGGGGAAAAAATTGTAAACAAAATTTCCATTTCTGTACGATTGTGCCTGTGTATTGAGCTCAATTATTCAGCATCGCATTTTGAGCATTTGTTTAGTTTTGTGTGCGTTTTTTCTGCCGTTGTATTTGCCTTCGATGTTTTGGTTTCTGCTTTTGTTTATTATTTTTGTTCAATGTGTGGAAATTGTTTGCGTGCCCTGCTGCTGTTGTTGTTTTTGTTATTGTTCTTTTGATTTTAATTCGATCTGTTACATGCGGTTGACCAAATTTTCAATTAATTTTTGCCTGCAAGATTGATGAGCTTGGGCCCCAGAGAAAGGGTCTGTCGCCCAGGGAAAAGCTCAATCCATGTGGGATGGCAAGTTCATGACTGCTTTTTGCCTGGCCATTGACTTTGCCCCTCTGTCAGCACAACTTTGTATGCAAATCATTTGAACATTAGTCGCATCATTCTCACGTATCCCAGGCAACATTGTTTTTCGGTATCAGAGTCGCAGAGACTTAGCATTTTGCATAATTTGTTTGTGTGGCAAGGCATTGCACTTGGAGTTGCATGGGGCTGTTGCAGTTGCAATGCCAATTAAATTCAGTCAATTTTCTGTCTCGAATTTTCAAGGAAGCATAAAACGGCGAACATTTTTGCATTCACAACCGTTGAAGTTGTACACAGAAAAAATTTAAATTTTTGATTACTTGTTTATTAACTCTAAAGTGAGGCGACGTGTAAAATTGGTTTTAGAACATTTTTAATTAAATATATTTATTTAAAAAATATTTTTTCCATCTAACTAACGTTTTTTACTTAAATTACGTTTTATTGGCGAACTATTTCCCAACCGGAAGTCTTTGTAACATTCATAAATATTTTGCAGTGCTTACTATTCTTATTCCTAAGAAGTTACTTTATTCTTATTATTAAAATCATAACATATTGAGAAACAATAATTAATTGTATAATATTATTCCCTGTAGAGTGGAGTTAAGAATTGGTTATATTTATAATTTTTCACAACCAAAAGTCTTTGCAAAAAACCATCATTTTAACTTTTTCTTTTCTTATTCCTATGAAAGGACAATATTTGTATTAGAATCCCAAAGTATCAAAGTTTTAACATAATTCAATTAACAACAATTGAATATTTTTCTTGTGTAGAGTAGGTTTTCCTTGGCGTTTTCATGCACGTGCTCTTACTTTCCACTCCCCCCGACGTCAAGTTTACTATTATTTGCATTTTTCCATAAGCAAAACAAAACAACTGAAAAAAGTTTTGCAGTTTGTTATGCTTTTGCAGTTTTCGCTTTGTTTGTGCTTTTGCTTCAGCTGCAGCTTCAGTCTCTGTTTTGGCAACGTCGTTTGTTTGTTTGTTTATTCGTTTGTTTTGGCTTTGGACTGGGGATCGCTTTTGGCCAAACAGTTGCAGCAGCATCACAGCCAAACGGTGAATACCCGTACCGTTACCAATGTGCCATATATATATAAGTATGAGCTTCGATGGCTAACCCAAATAAGATGAACAACCCAGCCAGCCCAACCCACTGCAGTTTCCATCGGTTTTTTCGCTTTTTTTTTGCTGTGTCAGCGCCGAAACTTCATCTGATTCATCTGTCAGAGTGTCCAGTTGGAATTATGCGAGTTATGAATCACCAAGAAGCCAGTGCTAACGAGAGTGTCCTGAAGCCCCACTAATACAGGGCTTTCGCCGAAGACTTTGCTGCTCAGATTAATTGAATTTCACGCTTTGATTTCGCGAATTGCCTGGCCCAAAAGCCATGCCGCATAAATCTTTCAAAAGGTGTATAAATTATTTGCTCACGCACAACGCCTGGCGCCGAATAATATTTTTCTTCTCACCTTTATACGCTATTTTTTGTGCGTTTTTTTTTTTTATTTGTTAGGCGCCTGGCAACACGGCGTATGCTTAACACTGGTTTTTTCCCTGCGATTTCGCCTTTTCTGACATTCAGGATACACTGCTCTATCAAATATTTATGCGATTGCATCCGATTCAAGTCGATTTATTTGGGCTTAACAACTTCCGACTTGCGTATTGGGAATTTATGGCCCTTTGGTTCATCAATTATTTGAGCCAAGTGGAATGCTGCTGATGGTTTGTATCAAATCCAGGGGGCTAACCAATTTGGGCAAAAAGTTTATTTATTTAGTGGGCTGGCAACTGACATTTCCTTTTGAACTGCATAAAATAACAGAAAGGAGTATATTCAGATTCAATTTCCATTCCAGAAAAACCAATTTCCGGCCTATATAGAAATCATGTTAATTACCATTTCACTCATCGACCCGCTGGTCTCTCAGAAATAAATTATAAAAACATTTTCATCTTGCTCTTTTTTCCAATGGGAAATTATTTATTTTTGGACTGAAAAATTTCTACGCTCGAGGTAAAATTAATTATTATTTACAAAATAATATTAATTAAGGCGAAGGTGAAGCGCATATGTTCCAATTTTCCACACAACCGAAAGAATATCGAGGCGAAAAATAAATCGAAAGAAAAGAAATATACTGGCGAATACGGGGGCACATAAAAATATTAAAAAACAAATAAAATGAAGACGGCCACATGCCTGTGGTCCACGTGCTACGCCAGAGTGTGTGTGTGTGTGCCTTGGATTTTCCTCTTTTTCTGTTGTGTTTACCCATTTTCCATGTGTACGCAAAATTATGAATGCTGTTCAGGCGGCGTATACGCAATATAGTCTGTCCCATTCTCGTCCCCCAAAACTGGGCCACATCCCGCTGCTCCTGCTGCTTTGTTTATCTGCGGAGGCAGACCTCGTTTTGTTTTTAGAAGTACGACAAGAGGACAACTCCGGGTCTGGCCTCGTCATATATCAATTTCAATTATCTGGCATTTCCGTTGAGGCTGGAAGCATTTCAAAAGCATTTCGCTATATATAAATTATTGGCAACGACAAAAGGGACGCCCGAAAAGGATTATGCGGCCTGCAATTTAACTTGGGTCCTGGTTCTGGTTCTGATTCTGGTCCTGGTCCTTGGTCCTGGCTTTTATCAGCCGCAACTGACACCAGCAGGCCCTTGAAGAAGGCGTGAAAAATGAGTCATAAAATGCAAATAAAACTCAAGAGTCCTTTTCGCTTGAAGTTCGGGTTTTATGTGCTTTCTTAAAGAGCTATTTGTCGATTGTTCTTTCTTTCAATTTCCTTCTCATGTTTGGTTAACCTTTAGCGTAAAGTTCAATTTGCTCGTTAATATATTGATAAACATTTGTTTTAGCTGGATTTTCCTACATTGGCATTGCGCCATTGATCCTCGCGTGTGTGTGCTGTTCAGGTTTACATGGGATAATTAACACGCCTCACCGCAGCCGTGATTTTATGGCCAACACTTTGCTCAATTCGCAGCTCATCTGCGGGACATGGCACGGCATCGCCAGCAAATGGCTGGACTCACTGCATCCGTTGTCGAGGTTCCCTCTATGAAATTCTGATTATTCTTGTGGTGGCAAAATGCATTTGTCGGCTATAACATCGGCATAACGCAAACAAACAAGCCGTCGCCGCCGATATTGGACTTTATGCATACGGTATATAAAGTACAATAAATATTTAATGGTATCCTCTTTTTCTGCGATGCATCGATTTGCGGCTGAAATCCAATAATAAAATTCAATATTTTCAGTTACTTAAAAGTGTAATGAAAATAATAAAGGCCAATGGGGAAAATGTAATTT